TTTGGAATCTACATGTGTTTTTTGGTACTATAAACATTTTTTTCTTCACATGAGCATGATATAATTATTTTAACTACAGTCTCTTACATGTTCTGAGGTCTCTCATTTCTTGTTAAATGTTTTTATTTTATATACATTATTCTTATTATATCATAATAAGTGACATTTCTTAAGCCTTTTCATCCAGTTATTTATGACTACATGTAGAGATACAATAGGAATTCAAAAATACTGATTTTGTATGTTCTCTCTCTAATTTTAGTACTTTAAAAGTTTTAAAATGTGATGTTATTCTTGAAGGGACCAGGGTTTTAATAGTGAGCAATTTCATTGCTAAACAGTAATTCTTTTTATTAGCTTACAAAGAATTAGGTTTCATTATGGAATTTTTTCAAACAAAACTTAGTTTTGTTGTTGTTTTTTCCCCACCTTTTCCTATGTCTCCTCCTCTTATATGCCTTTCCTTCCCAGTAACATCATAGTCTACCTTGTGTCTCCTAAACTGTGTTGTTCAGAAGGGCAGAGTTTGTGGTCTATCCAACTTTTCATCTTCTGCAACAATTAAACATTATAGCTGTTTTTCTCCCTCCCTCCCTCCCTCCCCAAGTGTAGCCTTGGCTGGCCAGGATTTCACCATGTAGACCAGGCTGACCTTGAACTAATGGGTCCACTTGCTTCTACTTCCCGAGTTGCTGCAAATACAGACATTTACTACCACACCTGAAAGAATTCTCTTGCTTAAATCTAGATATTACATAGCTTTCTGATTATAAATTATTTTTTAAAATTACGATATGCCAAAGATCTTTACAATAGTTCCAATCAGTTGACTTAGGACACCAAGAAAAATTGACACATTAAGTGACACTTTTACAATGAACTTCTTTTGTTATTTGAGCTTGAGTCACATACTTTTCCTGTTTCTTATTTTAGGCTAAGGAATCTTACCTACCTAAGCATCGATCATAACCAACTCACCATGATCCCTAAAGAGCTTTGTTCTCTTGAGAATCTTTTGGAACTGCATCTTAACTACAATCAGCTCATGTGCATCCCTGAAGAAATTAAGCTCTTGAAGAATCTTCAGCAGCTTTTTCTGGTCAGGAACAACATTGAAGTTTTGCCACAGGTAAAGAAAAAAGGGCCATCTGTTTTTTTTATTGTTGCTGATGGACAAGAACTCATTTAACATGATAACATTATAAATGATAAAGCACTTCAAAGTTCATTTGTTTTGTTAAAGAAAAAGGTGTGACTCATTTTCTAAAACATTATGAATATGTATATGTGTACACATGTGTATGAATGCAATTTTCTGTTTATATTTGTGTTACACTCTTCTTAGGTTCTATTTTAATTTCTTTAAAGAGGTCTGGGGGATATAAAAAGAGCCCTTTGAGTAGAAGATGGACGTAAGACTTCTGAAGTATAGTCTTAACATAACATTTTCACTGCTTTTGTGATAGTTGAAGTCAAAAAATCATCTTTTTGCATTTGAGTGTGTGTACGGATAAGCAGATGAATGAATAGAAAATAGTCCGAATGGCTTTGAGTTTTGTAGAAAAAGTTTTTACTTACTTTTAAAAGCTTGTTTTCATGAAACTGATTCCATAGGTGGAAGTAGATATTAGGACAATTATTACTTAGGAAATACATTCGAATCATACACTTAAAGATAGATGGATATTTCGTGTTGTTACAGAAATAAGCCCACTAGGTCTATGAGCTGGTCATAATAACATAAGCATTCAAAAGTCCAACAGAGAATTTCAGAATTCATAAAAGAAGGCATGCAGTTAAGGCATGGAGTGAGAGTGCTGTCATATGGATTTCTGTGTCATGTTCAAAGCATTTGACTAAAAGCATTAGTGCAGCATATTTCTTTGCAACTTTGTGTGGTCCAGGATGCTCATGTACTGACTGAATCATGCCCTTAGTGTGAAGGAGCAGGATGCGGCGGCATTCTGAGGAAGTTAGGTCACCAGGGTGAGTTCCTCATGAATGAAACTATTATCCTTATTACAATTAAGTGTGCTTGTACATGCCTGCAATCCTAACACTCAGGACCAAAAACTCTGAAGCATCCTAGGTTACATGGTAAGATTGAGGCTAGCCTGTTGGCATGCATGAGACCCTATCTTAAGCAACCAAACTAAGCAAAACCAAACCAAGCCAAACCAAAGCACCTCGAGAGACTTCATAGGAATGAAGGGCTCTTTCTATCATGTGACAGTATAGCAAGAAGTTGGCAGGTTCCAACCCATCACATCATAGCCCTACCATGTTGGCACCCTGACCTTAGTCTTCCACATTCTCTAAAATACTCTAGAATACATTGCTATTGTTTGTAAGATTTGCAATCTATAGTTCTCTGTTACAGAAGACAAACATGTCTTTTTCTGAAAATCTACAAAATATATTCACATATTAAACATACCGACAAGTCCTGAAGCCAAGCTTCTTAACTTTGTTAAATTAGAGTTTCCTGAAGCAATGCCTTGGCATTTGCCTTGGTCATAGTGGACAAATAAAAATTGTTAAAAATTTCAATGTAATTCCTGTTCTTCTTGGTCGTAAGTAATACCAACCTTTAGCTTTGTGTCTACTGTGTAGTTTTGGATGTGTTTGCTTTTCTCTGTCTAGCATCTATTTCTTTTTTGTTTTCATACTGGTGTTGTGCTATAGCCTTGTAAATTGCTTCTGCTGTGAGTCTGTTAGATTTGCTTAGTGTTGTCCTATCCTACTACTCAGGTCATCTAGCCAACTAAGAATTGTCCTTCACTCTGGACTTAGGGATTTGCTCGAGGATAGACATAAGACTTAAAGTAGATAAATGGGATAAGTTCAATGGATATATGGGGATAAATGTGGTCTTTCTGCCTGTTAAACAGGAAGAATGAAGATCCACATCTCGGGACTAGAGAGGTGGCTCAGTGACTCAGAGGACTTGATGCTCTTACAGAGGATCCAGGTTCAATTTCCAGCACACACATAGTAGTTCGCAACCATCCATAACTCCAATAACAGGGGATCTGATGTCCTTTTTTTGTGGACACTGAACACACATGTGGTTTACATACATGCATGGAAACAAAACAGGCGTGCGCGTATGTATACACACACACACACACACACACACACACACACACACACACCTTAAAAATAATTAAAAAAATTTTGTATCCAGGCATCTCCTTTGTCAGTCCTCTTTGGTCATTTTCTGTTGTTTTAACACTCTTCTCCTACATTTCTATCCCAGGAATAGTGGTATTCTCTTTATGGAACAGTTTCTGTCCAAGTGTTTCCTCTGTTTCTTGTACTGGAAGGTACAAAGATGGAAATCTAAAGTACACTCAGTACTGCAGACTCCTCATCTTTTCTCAGAGAATGCAACTGGTGCTAGTATGCAATATAAAAGATGAAGACTATTGGATATGGCTAGAGATATACCATTTCTCTAGGGAGAAACCCCGCCACCAAAATCAGAGCATTGCAGAAACATTTCGTCTACCATAGTTGAAGTCATTTAATAAATTATACCCTCCTTTTTCAATTTAAAACATTTTTCAAGTTTTTAGGTTTTAAAACCCCAGTTTTCATTTGTTTGTTAATAGAAATACTAGAAATACTATGTCCCATAGCAACCATGTGGTTACTGTGGTAACACACATTTCCATTGACCATGTAGATATAATCATGGGTTTTATTTATCTTATGAATAAAGGGTTTTGTTATCATAGTACTAAGCACAAGATAATTGTACTATAAATTCTGGTGAAATTATCATTACAGAAAATATTTCAGGATTATAGCTGTTTTCTGTTTCTCAGGGTACTTTAATAATAGCTAGTGTCAATGAGTGCTGACTGACAATTAGGCTGTTTGAGTTTGCTAACTCAGTTAATCCATTTAACAATCACAAATGTATTTCATTTCTGTTTAGAAAAAGTGGAGAAATCAAAATACAAAGGGATCTTAGGAACTTGCCTATGACTGACTACATGTGTTAAGAGTGAGAAGTGGGTTAAGACTTAGCAGTTAACTTAGCATGAGTTATGTTGCTCTGTGGTTTTCAGAACAAATGAGGATTTGTAAATTTTTTGAAAGTCCTTAGAGAGTTCCTTGGGGAAGACTGTCTTGATGGAGGGACACCTCTGTCCACTCTGAACTAAAAGCTAATACTTACAGTTTTATATTAAAAACTCTTTTCTGTCTTCTGACACAGGGACTTTGTCAACTTGAAAAACTAAGACTTCTGGACATAGCTGGAAATGTTATTCAGATATTTCCAGCAGGCGTAAGTACAGTCAATTTTTACTCTAAAAATCATTCTGTTTATACTACTGGGAATACAAAATACAAACAGCCAGTAAAAGCTGTAGTAATTGGAGCCTAGATTTGTACAATGACTCAAAGATTTTCTTTATTTTAGAATTTCAAGACCCATTCTTTCCCATCCTTTTCCTTGTGTTCTGTGCCTGCTGAACTTGCTTGAAATAAATGAATTCTGATTGTTATAATAAATATTTAATCTGTCAGTTATGATTACATTCTTTGGTTATTACATACTGCTTTTGGTCAACCCTGCTTTTTTTGAAGAGACTACTTTTCTGGATAGAAGGTTTTATCCCATATAATTAATCCAGAGGTGACCCTTTTGTCATTTGTTTTAAGCCATCAGCTATGAAAATGCACTTTCTTTTCCATTTGGAACTGAATTTTGACTTTGTTTCATTTCAAATAACAGAAATTTTGGCAATTTCTAACTTTGGGGAAAGAAATAGCTGTTTTTCATATTGCATTTTTATATCCAAGTGAACATGCTGGAACATTTAAGGAAATAACTACAAGTCCATTAATCTGGAGAGTATTTAGTAAATACCTGTGGATCCATAATTATTTTTTCTTATTGATTGATTCAAAGTGTAGTTTTCAGACTTTTTTATCTAATAAAAAAGTATTTTATATTGAAAAGGATAAAATATGAAATGAGTTCAAGCTATGCTTTAGAAAACTATATGTAATTTTTTGATTGTGGTAAAATACATATTATAAAGCCTTATCTTTTTAAAATTTATTACTAAATTAGTTAATTATTTTCCAGCCTGATCACAGTTTCCGTCTACTCCTCCTCTTGTCCCAGTCCTTCCCCCAACCTCCCCACTCCTATTGTCTCCTCCTCCTTTCTCTTCAGAAAAGGGCCCAAAGCCTTATCTTTTAATAGGACAGACTTGACACAGTACTTGGATACAGTCCATCAGCACAACCTACCTCTAGAACTTAGTTATCTTAACAACTGAAATGTCATTAGACAAATTCCCAACCAGTTAAATTTCTAGTTCTCATGTTAGCATGTAGCACAGCATTTTAAAATGAGGCATTCCCATAGTCACCCATACCACATGTGTGCATACAGTTTGCTTATCCATTGTTCTGCGGATAGACACTTGGAGTGTTTCTGTCTCTTGCTTACTATGAGCACGGCTGCTTCAAACATTGTAGAAGTTATTGCTCACTAAGTTTAGTTTTTACTTTCAATTTCTGTAAATATATACTCAGAAATAGAATTAATGAATTGTATAGTCTTTTCCCATGTTGTTATCTTGGTGCCATGACAAAACACCTGACAAAGTATCTTAAGGAAGGACGGGTGCAGTCCATCATGGTGGGGCAGCCCTGGCATCAGGAGGGTGAAGCATTTGGTTTCATGTATCCATAGTTGAATGCTAGTATTCATCTCTCTTATGTAGTCTACTGCTCATCTCTCTCATGTATTCTGGCACCCAGTTCTGTATTCTAGTGCTCATCTCTGTCTTACATAATCTACTGTTCATATCTCTTAAGTGTTTTAGTGCTCATCTCTCTCTCTTATGTATTCTTCGACCCAGCCCATAGAATGGTGCTGTCACCTTCAGAGTGGGACTTCTATCTCTATTAACTAAACAACCCCTCCCAACATGTCCACAGGTGACCCAGTTAAAGTAGCCCTACACAGACATGCCCCAAAGCTTGCCTTCTAGGTGATTATAGAGCCTATCAAATTGGCAATAAATATTAACCATCATATCTCAATTTACTATGCTGTTAAAAAATGTATAGTTTCAAATTATAGGAAAGAGTACATGCTTTCAGCAGAGACGTGGTAAAGATTTTATTTATACTAGAGTCTTGATTTAGTTCGGTGCACAGTGTGATACAACAGTAACTTCCAGAATACCCTTCCAATGTCACTTCTCCCATGGTAGCACTGCAGCAAAGACCATCTAAAGGGTTACTCCTTTTGAGTCTATGTTGACATTAGAATGTGAACTTTATTATCAGACATATCTTGAATTTCAACTTAATATATTTATTAAATGAATAAACCTAAATAATGTTCTTCAACTACACCTAGCATCTACCTTGGTATTGCCGTTAATGCAGTTTCTTCTAAAAAGAGATTCTATACCAACCGTTTTGTTTATAAACACCCTTGCTGTCAATAATTTTAGTATACCTTTGACATGATATATGACAAACTCACTTTCAGAGATTTCTATAAACCCTCTGAAATAAGATAGTATACGAGACTCATCTGAGCTTTGTTCCCAATTATTTGCTTCTGAATTTTCAAAATGACTTTCCTTTCTAAAGCAGTAATGATTTTCTACAAATTATTGGTGTAAAATCAGTTTTGCACATTTGAGAGATGGGCCAAACTGATGGAACACATGGTAAATGCAGAAATAAATCCCTGGCTGTAGAATAGTTCTAAGTGTTACAGAGTTCAGTTTCAAAGTAAGGTATGCGAATGTTACCAACAATGAAGACCGAGTAGTTTAAGAATGGTGGATACAGGCTTTGTTAAATTCCTAAATTTCTGTTTACAAAACCATGACCTGAGACAAGTTGCTTGAGTTACCACTTAAAACCACTAACCTCATGGGCGTATAAATTAGTAAATGATTATATACTGTTTTATAGAGAGTGTCAAAGGAATGGAAATTACTTTGACAATGAATTATATGTGAGATATGTGGTAATATTGACATAGTGATTGACAATGCACAGTCATGGAAATGATAGTGATCATTCATGATCCACAGGCAACAATAGGTGGTAGCAACTTACCAAAGGATGTGGTTTAAAATAGGTTTTTGTTTTTTTAAAAATAATAATTCATTAAAACACTTTTTAATTTAACTTTATTATTATTTTTTTAAATTAGTCACAAGCTTGCTTCACATGTCAATCCCATCTCCCTCTCCCTCCCCTCCTGTCCCACCCTCACCAACCCCCACAAAGCCCTCACCCCATCCCCTCTCTGTTCCCCAGGGAGGGTGAGGCCTTCCATGGAGGATCTCCAAAGTCTGTCATATCATCCCAGGCAGGGCCTAGGCCCTCCTCTATGTGTCCAGACTGAGAGAGCATCCCTCCATGTGGAATGGGCTCCCAAAGTCCATATGTGTGCCAGGGATAAATACTGATCTACTGTCCGAGGTCCCATAGATTGCCGAGACCTCCTCACTGACCCACGTTCAGGGGGTCTGAATCAGTCCTATGCTGGCCTCTCAGCCATTAGTCTGAGGTCCTTGAGCTCCCCCTTGTTCAGGTCAACTGTTTCTGTGGGTTTCACCAGCCTGGTCTTGACCCCTTTGCTCATCACTCATCCATCTCTGCAACTGGATTCCAGGAGTTCAGTTCAGTGTTTAGCTGTGGGTGTCTGCCTCTGTTTACGTCAACCACTGGGTGAATGCTCTAAGATGGCATATAAGGTAGTCATCAATCTCATTATCGAGGAAGGGCATTTAAAGTAGCCTCTCCACTATTGCTTAGATTCTTAGTTAGGGTCATCCTTGTAGATCTATGGTCATTTCCCTAGTGCCAGATTTCTCTTTAAACCTATAATGGCTCCCTCTATTATGATATCCCTTATCTTGCTCTCCTCTATTCTTCTCCTGACTCAACCTTCCTGCTCCCCCATGTCCTCTTCTCCCTGTCTCTTACTCTCATCCCCCTCCCCCCTCTCCCCATTCTCCCAATTTGCTCAGGAAATCATGTAAGATTCCCATTCTCCTGGGTACCATGTATGTCTCTCTTAAGGTCCTTCCTGTTTCCCAGACTCTCTGGCAGTGGGATTGTAGGCTGGCAATCCCCTGCTCCATGTCTAAAATCCATATATGAGTGAGTACATACAATGTTTGTCTTTTTGTGACTAGGTTACCTCACTCAGGATGGTTTCCTCTAGTTCCATCCACTTTCCTGCAAATTTCAAGATTCCATTGTTTTTTCCCGCTGAGTAGTATTCCATTGTGTAAATGTACTACATTTTCTCTATCATTCTTCAGTTGAGGGGCATCTAGGTTGCTTCCAGGTTCTAGATATTACAAATAATGCTGCTATGAACATAGTTGAACAGATGTCCTTAGTGTATGAATGTGCATCTTTTGGGTATATGCCTAGGAGTGGAATTGCTGCATCTTGTGGTAGACTGATTCCCATTTTCCTGAGGAGTTGCCATACTGATTTCCAAAGTGTCTGTACAAGTTGGCATTCCCACCAGCAGTGGAGGAGTGTTCCCCTTTCTCCACATCCTCTCTAGCATAAACTGTCATTGGTATTTTTGATTTTAACCATTCTGACTGGAGTGAGATGGTATCTCAGAGTTGTTTTGATTTGCATTTCCCTGATGGCTAAGGATGTTGAGCACTTTAAGTGTTAGCCATTTTAGATTCCTCT